AAGAACTTTCCCGAAAAAAAAATCCTGGAGATCTTAGTTTTGTAGTGCCTGCACTCATAATTTGTCCCTGAATTTGTATCTCCTCTTCGACGACGACTCTTCCATTGACTGCTGTGCACACAAGCTACATAACAAAAATTAAAAACAACAAGATTGCAGTATAATAAAAATGCATGTTAGTTTTTGCGCAATCTAGAATAAAAACTGCGAAGATTTCAACAAAACGAAGAGATCCAGTTAGGCGATCTGCGCGTGGAATTGCGCAGCAGATTGGACGAGCGCAAAATAGAGAAGAATGGAGAAGTTGCCAGATGCCACATCAATGGCGAGAAGGAACGCGACGATGAAACAGCAGCGTGACTGCAGCGAATGAAAATCAAAATACGAATCAGTCCTGTCCGAACCTTCCTTGCATTCTCTTCCATCTCCTCACTCCTTTTAATAATTTTTTGTTCCTTCTGATAGCTTTACAAAGTTATAATCGAGGTAAAGAACCCTGCCTCCTGAATCCCAACTGGGGAACTCCCTTCGACCACAACTTAGGTTTCAACATTCAGCAAAGTTGGGTCTCCAGAACACCAAATGAAAATCAAAATACGAATCACTCCTGTCCGAACCTCCCTTGCATTCTCTTCCATCTCCTCACTCCTTTTCATAATTTTTTAAATGGATACAACAGTGGTCGAAATGAGAGGAGAACTCTGAAGACGGAAATTCAGATCAAACTTTCTGCAAAACCCGTGGCAATCGCCGAAGGTGCTGAGTTGCAGTGACAGATTATACGCAGTCGAGTGTTCAGGAGCGAGCAAAAAACTACAAGTAGTGGGGATAAAGCCGGAACGACAATAGTTTTGATGCATTTGATGTGTTTAGAACAAACCAGGAATACAGCCAGTGACCAATAAGGAAAACGGATGAGCCGCATACCATAGTGCTGTATCACCCCGATTCTCCGCCACATTTTTTCATGTTTGCATAATGACTTGAATATGTATTCGTCCGTGCGTGCTATCATCTATTTCCAATTCCATACCCGCCCAGACAGAAAGTTGTTTTCATCAAAAAACAGATTATGGAACGTGCAATCAGTAATCTCCCAGTCAATAATAATAATGATAATAATTAATAATCAATGATAATAATAATACTAATAATCGTAACAACTATAATAATAACAAAAATAATAATAATAGAGACAATAACAGTGATAATAACAATGGTGGTGGTAATAATAATAATAGTAAATAAATGTTAAGATCATCAGCAGACTGACTACCCAGGCGATGCAGCATTGGTTAAATCAACCGGGAAAAATCGGCAGCTTCACAACTGGAGAACAGAACTGCGAGTTTCAGCGAGCTCCGGGCATTTCAGATCACGGCTTTTTATTGGTTCACATTTCAATATTACTTTTCTAACAGTGCTACATTCTAAGCTGTGCTTTCAGACAGTGTGCATTTGCAGTCTGTGTAAGCAAATTTGGCTTTCTTCGATGCTCCTATGCAAGAAAAGCATGTTCGCGTTGTTCTGCTGCTACACACGATTATTTGTCTGCTATTTTCGATAACGGGAAGAGCATTATACAGTGAATGTGATGTCTGCTGTTCAAAGCAATGTGATATTTATAATCAACTTTTTCTCAGTTGAGTCAAATCATTTAAGAGAATGTGAATTATTTTAGATGAATGTAATAAGGGGCTATGCACAAGTGGAAAATAATACAATCTATGTATTCAGAAAAACAAATAAGGATTGAAATAAAATTAAAACGAAAGACAAAACCTTCTCTATCTCTCTCTCTCTCTGTGAGGGGAACGGTCCATGGAAGCAATTCAAGTGGTAGCATCTTTCAACGGCTACCAGTTTTTGGCAAAGCCGTTGACGGCTGAAGGCTACTTCAGAAGATGCTGACTGTGAATTTGACTCCCTAGGATGTACTAGTAGCAATTTCCAAACGAAATTAATCGTAGAAGGATTGGTTTTTCCTGTACTGAAATAGTAATATAAAAGAGATTGGACTGAGTGTCATGTGTAAGAAGACATTTTACGATGCAGTCTGTGTTTCATCCCTGAAGTAGAACCCTCGTTTTTTTTTCAGTCCGAAAATGCGCTGCTGGTCATTGCATCACAGCTATCAGCTAGAAAGTCAAGACCTTTTCTGCATTCGTTTCTTACGTTAAACAGAAATATGAAATATCCGGAAGTTGCCTGCTTGAATACTGCATTTTTTTCACATTTATCCACTTATTCACTTTCTAAAAAGTAAGATTTTGCCCCTCTGAGTCGACTTCGGCGCTTTCTGGATGAATCCTGCGCTTCATCTGTTCAGCACCTCTCCGGCTAT